CACACAACACACAACACACAACGCACGCACGCACGCACGCACGCACGCACGCACGCACGCACGCACGCACGCACGCACGCACACGCACACGCACGCACGCACACAACACACAACACACAACACACAACACACAACACACAACACACAACACACAACACACAACACACAACACACAACACACAGCACACAGCACACAACACACAACACACAACACACAACACACAACACACAACACACAACACACAACACACAACACAAATAAAGAAGAGGAAACAGAAAACCACACACACAAGATAACAAACAACACAACCCACCGCCATGTCTGCCCCGCGCGAGGCTCGGGTGGAGATGCTGTGGGATGCCCTGGACCGCACCTTGGAACGCCTGGACGATCCGGAGCCGGCCCCGAAACCGGAGGCAGCAGCCCCGGAGGCGCGCGGCTGCGCTTCTTTCTTTGTGAGCCCAACCCGGTGGCTGTGGTTGTCAAAACCGTTTTGGGATCCCATTTTGGTTGGGATTGGTGCACCTGCAGCGCAACCCAGTTTAGAACCTATTTGAGTGGGAATTGGGATGTTCACTGGGGGTACGATTTGGGTTTTTGACCCATAGCCGGGTTTTGAGGCAGGGTGAAGGAGATGAAGCTTTCTGTGCAAAGCTGGAGGCCAACTTGTTTGGTTTGGGCGCTTTGGCGTTTGGGCCACCTGTTGAAACATGGGAAAAGCGCCATGGGCTGGTGTTCTGGTGCCTGGCCCCCCTGACATGGGTGTTGAACCTCCCTTGAAGGCTTCCGAAGCAGACTGAAGCACTTTGGGAGGTAACCCTTGCCATCAACATGCCGTCAATTTCATTTGGGCCGGGAATTCTGCTGCAAGACTTAGATAGGGCCATGGATGATCAGGTCACCCCATGTTTCCTGGGGGGTTGGTGCTTGATATGGGTGCGGGTCAACATCAAAGCACCAGGAATCGGACCGCAGGTTTTAGTCCTTGGTTCCATTTACTGGGGTTTCAACATGGACACCCAATGTTTGACCCACGGCCATATCTCCATTGAAACCAAGAAAGACATTTGGTGGCACCTTGGCCGAAAAAACGCCGAAACGGGTCCCAGGATCCGGCCGTTTGAGTTGATTTCAGTGGATTTCTGTGAGACCACTTTTGGGCGGAGGCTCACTACCTGAGTTCAAGGACGTTCAACTTCGTGGGGGTTGGGACCATTGTGGTGGCAAATGCGAAAAGTCTGGTTACTTGATTTGGCCGGCCCACTCGATCGGAAGTGACAAAAACAAGCCGGAGTTTTGGGCAGGCGAACGGCTCGCCCTCCCCGCCGAAGCCACTGCTGAACCGGCTGCTGCCGTTGATCGAAGCCTTCTTCGTGCTGCACGGGAAGGAGGAACGCGACGCCTCAGATCCCACAGAGGCCAAACACCAGCGCCTTGAAGTGAGGAAATGGGTCAATGAATGTGTTTTGAACTAGACCCCACCCCCCAAAAAAAAAGGGCTTGGTTTTCATGTGGTTTCCCTTGAAAACAACCTCAAACATGGTGCCCTCGGAAAGAAAAATATATTGCCGCGCGCAAGTTGCAATGGGGAACCCTTCGGCGGACATGCCATGGGTCAAGACCCAAATCGTACGCCCAGTGACTCCCAGTGAACATCCGATTCAATCCAAGCACCAAAATAGGAAGCCGAAAATGGGATTGGTGAATTCACCAATCCCAACCAAAATGGGATCCCAAAACGGTTTTGAGCCATGTGACAATCCGCATAAGCCCGGTATCAAAATGGTCCCAGAAGCACGCTTTGAGAATTAAGAAGGCAACCGAAACGAATGGTTTTGAGCCACAGCCACTTGTATGGTCCCAGTAAGAAAGAAGTCAGTCCAAGTTTGGGGAACCCTTCGGTGGACATATGATTGGTGACCTCCTGAGAAAATGGAAGCCAAGCAGCTTGAGCGTCCCCCGATCAGCCAGAGGCAAGCAGCACGCGCATCTCATGGGAAAAGCGTTCTCTAGCCTGGTGCTATTTCCTTTTGTTGATCAGTGTGGGCTCCCAAAGGATGGAGACGTTTTGCGTCGTATGGGAAAGTCAATCATTTGTTTGTGTTCTTTTTCTCCTTTGCGAGAACGAGCTACAGCATGAAGGATCCTTTCTCGGGATTCCTTTTTTCAGGTAACCCTTGATTGGTGGTTTGGATTGGTTTGGGGATGTGACCCCCTTGCTTTTGCATAGCTTATTTGCGAATTATTGAATCATTAGGAGGGAAGGAAGGGAGCCCAAACAAGCCTTTGTTAAGGCCTTGTGTATATATATATATATTGCGGGCTTATTTGGCCCCCCCCCTCACCCCCCCCCCCCGGCAGCCCCCTTGATAGCAGATTCCCCAGACCCCTGGTACCCGATTTTTTTCACTGGCAAATATGGGGCGTACAGGCACCGCTGTAGGAGGACGGTAGGGACCTTGAGCTCCAGATCCCGTGTAGACCGTGAGAAACCGCTGAGGCACGTCTTTGAAGAGCATCACGAGCAGTCGGCCGCGGAGAGGAGTCGCTTCGGGCAGTTCTGCAAGAAGCACCGGCGGTCGCTGAACCCCGGTGGAAAGAGAGAGGGGCGCCCGACTTTGTTGCCTTCCTCTTGGGGAAGGGTTTCCCTCCGGATTTTTGTCCGCGTTTTCTGGGGGACTTTTTTTTGCCAAGCCACCAGAGGCACACAAGCCATTATCATAGGCCTTGGTGGCGTCCCCGTTTTCCTACTGGGGAATCAACTTGGCATTTCCAGGTATGTATTTTCCATGCAAGCGATACATATATATATATATATTGTATATACACCTTCAAACTTGGCCAACAAAGGAGTGCCAATGTACTTGGTGGGGAAAACCATGAATAACGTATTCTTCAAGCTATTTGCATATTCTGGTGCATGACCAATTTTTCAGTTACCTGTGTTTGTTTCCCGGTCCCTTTCACCATCTACCAAGCAGCATCTTCGCTTAGTGAGCCAATGGACCTACATCCACGCGTCTGACCGATTTGGCAAGGGTGCCAATTCTGTTTTGCCATGTTCTTCCGCTTTGCAGGGTAATGGCTTGACGTAATTTTGAGGGGCCGCGGTCTCATGCTCAAGTCTAATATGTGGAAGCTGGATGGCGGCCTGGATCGGTGAGCGTGGCATTGTGGAGGTTGAGTGCATGTGCTCTTGTGCGTGTGAGCCTTGCTTCTCATCTTGGTCTGGGAGGCGATCAAGGCGCCTGTGCCCATTGGAAACTGGTGCGGGGAGCCCGATCCTGGTGGGGGACAAGGTTCAATCCAGGCGGAGGACGAGGCTCAAGCCATCAGGCTTAATGTTTGTTTTCAGGGATGCCGGACATGTGTGGTGTATGATGTAGGATTGCCCCACGAGCGCTACATTTTAGCATCTTGTGCATGTGGGAGAGGACACAATTTTGACTCCGGGTTTTGATGTCTTTCCTGGACAGATTTCGCTGGAAAACTCCGGGTCTTGTTTCGGAAATGCCCGATGCTGTCACACTGCAACAGATGCTCTGTGACGCCGAAGTAGCAGCCGCAGCTTTACCTACGCTGGACTTGGTTGGCAGCTGCGGCACATGTGAGGACTCCAGAAGTAGGAGCAGTGTTAGCCTCGCCGCGGATCAGGTGATGCCATCTTAGGAGATGGGGCCGAGAGTTTTCGTGAAGTGCTGTTTTCCAGAGTGCGGGGGAACAAAGGAGAGTGCCCTGACCCGCAACTCCAAAACTAATAACGGGCTTTATGTTTCATCTGAAGATGGTGATGCTTCCACAGCTTGACCAACCGAACCAGAAGCTCGAAAAAATCGACAAATAGCTGTTGCTAGGATTTTCGCTCGAAACCATGAGCGTTGCTGCGTGCAAAAAGTTCGTTCGGCAGAGCTGCAGAGAGCAGGTGGTGTCTGGAAGAAAGGGGGGAAGCACGGATGATCTGTGGTTTGACGCTCCCAAGAAAGTGCATTTAGCCACAGGTTCCAGTTTTTTCAAGCTGGAGGTTGATGCTGGACCCCTTATGGGACGGGCCTTGAATCTGGATCTTTCCCTTCTTGGAGCAGAAGAGTGTGAGCGAAGTGGGAAGGAGGTCGTATCAGGCGGCGTGGGATCTCTTCACCTCGTGGCGCAGCGCCGTGGTGACGGAGAGATGCTATGATGTGGAAACACTGGATGCCGCCTGCGCGGGCCACCGCAAGGTGGCGGACGTGAAGATGAAGAGGGCCAGCTTTGCCGCTGGACCCATGAGAGCGCCGGTGCCCTTTGCAGTGCTGTGTCTGATAGTGGGGCTCGTAGAGCAGGGTCACATGATGAAGGCTGGTGGCTCTTGTTCTTTGGGGCTCATGTTGATAGGTGCTGAAGCTGGAGGCAACACACCTTGCGCCGCCGAGCAAAGCGGCCGGCGCAAAGCATTGAATTGTGATCCCGTTGCCTTTGGAACTGCGCCCAGGAAGGTGGGGTCTACGATGAGGCGACCAGCCCCCCCTTGCTGGACGAGTTGAGGCCGGGGACATGGAGACCAAGATCTCCCCGACAGGCCTCGACCGAGTGCGCAGCGGGCGCTTCCCGGGGAGCTCTGAGAAAACGGCGCGCTCTGGACCATGAGTTGCAGGGCGTAAATGCAACTTCATCAACTACAACAGCTCATTCTGAATACGTCTCACTGTGAGGTCAAACTGAACATGAGCCTGAGAAAAAAGCCTAGAGGTGGCTACTTCCTGAGAAAACTTCAAGGCTGCAAAAAAAGCCTTTAGCTCGAGCTCGACACCACGGGTGAAAATGTGCCTCAGGACCTATTCGCAGCGGCGCTCACATAATGCCTGTCTCCGAAAGATGCTGTTCTTGTGTGTGGCTGACAAAAGCAGTGCAGCGTTTGGTCTACCACAAGGGCTATAGTTTTTTTCAGGACCGTATGCCACGGCGTAAACGCGCCAGACTTCTTGCCTGCCACATTAACCAATGAGACGCTGTGGAGAGCCCGAGGCATCTGGGAGAGGCACGTGGATCAAATCCACAGTGTGCCTCTTGTGCGCGTGTCAACGCTGCCACAGAAAGTGTCTGGCCGCGGCAAAATGGAGTTGCAGGTCATGTTCTTCTGCTTTGCAGGGTAATGACTTGACGTATTTTTGAGGGGCCGCGGTCTCATGCTCAAGTCTACCCTCCCCACCCTCCCGACTTTTGAAGGAGCGGTATGCTGTGGATTAAATCCACATGAGCCATTGTGCCTCTTGCGCGTGCGGCAGCGTTGACAGAACGTGTCTGGCCCCGGGAAAATGGAGTTGCAGGTCATGGAAATGTGTGTCTCCAAACAAGGATTTGGACTGATTGGCTGTCCGTTCTGTTTCACTTCAAACCAACCCAGCAAGGGTATCTCTTGCCTCAAAACAAGATCGGAGCCGCACCCAATTGGGTTGGTTTGTTTTTTTGGGTACCCGTTTTTAGGCTGGTTAAGTGGTTAAGGGACAATGAAGGAACCAAAATCCAAGAACCGCCAAACTGTTCGTTTCCCTTTCTTTTCTCTCTTTCAACACACCCAGAGAGGGGTAGCACACAACAAGGCATGCCCACATTTCCCAGGAACGCCTTGCTGAAGCAGACGCCCTCGTTGCTCTCCAAGTCCTTCCTGCCGATGCTTCAGCTCATGCCCAGCTGCCTGGACTTCGACAACAAGCGCGCCCACTTCAGGCAGAGGGGTTGGTTCCATGGGTTTTTACAGTAAGCGGCTTCTTGTTGGTGGAACCCCACCCCCAAAAAGAAGTTGTTGTTTTGTTGTTGCCGGGTTTTCGGTGGTGTTTGTGCTTGTTTCTGATTACTTTTTGTAGGGGGCTGCATCATACCGAGTCCTTTGCTACGGTACCAAGGGTTGGAAAGAAGGCGGCTCCCCATTGGCAGAAGCCCAGTCGTGGCTTTCCTTCTGACTTGTCCCAAACGCGTCTGTATCGCATCGGCAGGGGGCAGCTTAGGTGGGGGCCTGAGATGCAGCTGGATTCGCCCACTGCCTCCCTTGGAAGGTTTGCCACCTGGGGTGGGGTGGGGGTTTCTCCCCGCCCCCCATTTTCGTTGGGAGGGTTCCGCTTTGACACTTTCATCTTGATTCATCTATGAAATGAAGGGCGAGTCCATTCTGCCCTATTTCTTGCACGGCTTGAGGTCTCGACGTTTGGAGAGCAGATATCAGACCATCCGTCTCCGTGTGCGGCGGAATGAGATTTTTATGGCTCGCGCCCAAGAGTGGCCGCAAACGGATTGCAGGGGATGGGTTTGTTTTGTTTCTAGTTTTTCCCTGTGATTTGGTAAAGGACAAGCACGATTCTAGCGCCACAATCTTGAGGCCAAAGATCCCAGCCAGAAATATGGTACCGAGACCTTTTGATTCTTCGACCAAGTACATAAGCCAGGCTTTAATCGGGTCTCGGAATCGTGGCTCTCATCGAAGCCAGCTGCAGGAACATATATTTGAAATTGGCCAAATACTCACTGAACACCAGGGTTTGAGCGAATCTTCCAGTGGAAATTCTCTTGTGGCTCTGATTCATGGGGAACCACCTCACAAGAGGTTCACCAAAGGGCTGTTGTCCACCATTTCGGGTGCCGTGGCTCTCGAGGACTCTTACCATCAACTCCGCATTCGCACCGGAGAGGAGATGCGAGCGAAGATCCAGGCGGAGCGTTTCTGGTCAAAAAAGGCTTTGGTCTCCCTAAGTTTTTGCTCCCCCAGCTAGGTGCCCTTCGTAACCCCTTTTGTGGTTGGGGTTTTGGGTTCCCCTGCTAAAATAGACTACAGAAAAAAAGTTGGTGGACCTAGTTTGGTTTGTCTGAAACTGTGGGCTTCCCTTTGGCGGCCCCCAAGCATGTGCTTGGCATCTGCTCACCATGGTGCCCATGGTGCCCAAGGACTAAAGCCTGGCGGGTTTTTGGTTTAATTCATTGACCGAGCCCTGGGGCGACCTTTTTTTGGGTATGTAAGGGCCGTCCCTCAACTCGCATCACCGGGCCGGGAACACTGTAAACCGATGCTGGAGGAAAACCAGGATACTGTACACGTAGGAGCCATGAAGACGCATCAGGTCCAAGTTGTTGTTGTGGCAAACCAAGATTGCAGAATCCGACATTTGAGGGGCCCACGCCGTTACGCCACCGGTAGGCAACTCATTAGCTGTCATGACGAATCCAGCCAGTGACCCCTGGAGCTGCCAAAGTGTACGTTGTGTACAAACCGCCTACTGAAAAGTTGCGACTTTCGAGCCACTCTGGAACCTATTGAATTGGGGCGGACCCAAGGCTTGTAGCCGGGAAAAGCAGGTGTTGATTGCTATGAATATTTGGTTGCGTGGGGAAACCAGCACGTAAAAAGCCTACCTGGAGTCTTCATGACCTTACAAAACTGGGGATACCCAATCGAAAGGGCTCATGGCAAATCCTATTTTGGATTCAGGTCAGAAGGCTCCAGGCTTTGGTGGGCTCAAAAAGGGTGGGGTTGTTGGGCTTGGCTTTGCCTCGAACGGTCGCCACACGGGACGTGCGCTCGCTCACCGCGCGCTGTGCGGCCAGGTCCAGTTCCAGGGCGAAGAAGGCATCGACGCCGGCGGTGTTGCCAAGGCCCGCAGCCAGTCGAGCCGAGTATGGGGCAACGGCCCGCTTGCAGGAAGCACCGCAAAGCCGCCGGGTAGATTTCTTTACCAGGGTTGCGGTTTCAGCTGGGATGAATTCCCAACGCGGTTGGATAGCGAAGAGATAAACTTGAGTATCATCTTGGGAAAGCCACAAGTCAATGAGACTGTTGGAGGGGCGGTTGAATAGGGAAGAGATAAACTTAAGTATCATCTTGGGAGAGCCAAAAGTGCGCAGATGCTTCTTTTGGCAGCGGCTTTGTCGATGGTGGCAAGTGTGTGCTCAACCGGCGACAGGAGTGGTATGGAGCTCTTGCAAAAGAGATCTTCAATCCAAATTATGTGCCGTGGCTGCATTTCTTTCCTCTGCCTGCAATCCCGACGATGCCAGTCAAAACAAGAAAACATCTGCCTATTTTAGAGCGAGCTCACCGATTCGGGGGTATAACGAGCTCACCATGATAAAACGGTCCTTTACTTGGTCCCTAAGTCCAGCTTTCGGAGTTGTAACATTTTTGCAGCTTGGTGGTTTGGCGATTTGAACCCCTGGTTGTGGAGGGAAGCTGGGACACCCTCGGCCACCAAACCAGTCCATGCCCACGCACATGCGCTGCGACCAGCGACGCCAGGCCCTCTTCGTTCAAGCCGGCGGGAAGGCCGAGCTGGGAGTCTGAAAGGGGGCGCGGGGGTTGGGTCTACTCGCCTTGGGAGGCTTGCACATATCATCCGAATCCCATGCCGGAGCCCCAGCCTGCTGTTATACTTTTCTTCATTTTTTGCATTGCGCATGTTGGCACGCCTGAACGAATTGGTGGTTTGGATTGGTGGTTTGGGGGCTTAAAACCCAGCTTCCTTTTGAAGCAAAATGGGGAAGGTACCCGTTTACAGCCAAACCACCAAGCCAAAGCACCAAATATTGGACACGCAAATAGCATCAACTAGCCAAGACACCGTGCAGGTCCTACGTCAACAGGGATCATCTCCAATTCTTTCACTTCATCGGCCGAGTGGTGGGGAAGGCAGGCCGTCTTTGTCTCTCTGGCATTTGTTTTGATTCTTCACTATCAATATCAGGTCCATAATTTTGATCAATAAATGATCACGTGTTGGCAAAATAGGTCGGATTGCATGACTGCACTTGCGAGAATTACTCTTCAGTCATATTTATGGTTTCCGTCACAATCTTTCGCTTCCTAAGGAACCCTGGAACTGTCCCATGGTTTCCGCCACACTCCGCTTATCTCCCTGGAGTTTGCTTTCTCAGGCCATCCACGATGGCCAGAACCTGGAGGCGTGGTTCACCCGGGGCTTCTACAAGCACATGCTCGGCAAGAAGGCCAGGCCTTTCCGCTTGAGGGGAATTGCGACCCGATGTGAGTGACCAATTGAAACCCCAAATGAAATGGGCGGTTCCTTTCTTGCGGCTACCTTGTGATGGCTTTTTCGGGAAAAGAGGAGCACCTTTCAGGGCTCGGCAACCAGCTCTGGGTCTTGTTCGCTTTGAGGTCATTCCGGCCGACTTGGAAGCTTTCGATCCCGAGTACTTCTCCAACTTGAAGTGGCGCCTTGGCGCTTGTGCTGTATTTTCCATTTGGTTAAGAATATCTTTTATTTTCCCCCGTTGGTTTTAAAGGGAATCTATCACTACTGTTGTTTTTTTGTTTTTTTAAATCCAGGGCACTTAAGCAAATGGAGGGTATCGTGACCAATAAAAAAGGCTGGAGACGCCCGCGGAAGTTGTCCCAAATCCGAAGTGTCTCCAGCCCGCGGAGATGCAGAAGGTTCCGCAGGCATTTCCGTTGCTATCAGCTGAGGATGTTGGATCACGTGCCTGCCTCAGACGAGAAATCCACCGAATCCATCATGTTTGCCTTCTCGTGCATGGTTCCAATAATTGCAGATCATTTGAGCGTACCTTCCCGGGATACAAAAGAAAACTGAACCCATTGTGAAAATGAAGATTCCATATCCCACTTAGACACACTCATAACTCATACCCATTGGTTGAAGTGTTAAAGGGCTCGGTTCATCTTCGCGTACGCATGGATCGATCCCAATTGCTCAAAATCGGGCCTGAAGCTAATGGTAGATGTTTCGCCCTGAAGCTGGTTTTGCTCAAGATGTTGCCCCCAAGTTCTGCACCCAAGCACCCCACCGCAGGTGGGTTTCTGTTTTTGGTTTCTCGCACTTTCCCATATGGCCAAAACTCCTCACAGGGCCCATCGCCTCCGCTGGGAACCTTTACAACGGTCCAATTTTATTTCAGGGGCCTGCCATCCCTCGCGGCCCGAACTGAGACGAAGAACTTTCTCAACTAAAACCTGAGCCTTAAATTTCTCTTTGAGGGTGCCCTTTTTGAGGTTGGCTGATACGGGGATTTTTTGGAACGTCGCAATTTTACTCGCTCACTGAGTTCATTGATTTTTCAACTTTTTGGGAAGACCATCCTAGTGGCAAACAAGACCATAGGTTACTTTTTTGGCCAGTCCACTCAGCCAGTGAGACTAAGAAGTTGTTGAACTAGAGCTAGAACCGAACGATTGGAGTTGCCCAAGAACCAGGCCAAGTGCCAAGTGACTTGTGGAGACCCGTTTGGGTCACATCCCCGTGCCAACTTGACGTCAAGTTTTGACGAGGACATCAGCGGGATCATCGAGCTCACCTTCTCGGCCGAGAGCGATGAGCTGGGGCAGATGAAGGCGCCTCACGGAACCGCATGGTTTGGTTTCTTCTTTAATCAATGACATTAATTAAATAATCAATTTCTAACTTGATTAATTACTTGATTGATTGATTAGTTAGTTACTGGGTGGTTGGTTGCTTGGTTGCTTGGTTGGTTGGTTGGGTGGTTGGTGGGTGGGCGGGTGAGTGGGTGGTTGGTTGGTTGGTGGGTGGGTGGGTGGGCAGGTGGTTGGTTGGTTGGTTGGTTGCTTGCTTGCTTGCTTGCTTGCTTGCTTGCTTGCTTGCTTGCTTGCTTGCTTGCTTGCTTGCTTGCTTGCTTGCTTGCTTGCTTGCTTGCTTGCTTGCAAGCTTGCTTGCTTGCTTGCTTGCTTGCTTGCTTGCTTGCTTGCTTGCTTGCTTGCTTGCTTGCTTGCTTGTTCAGTCGGTCGGTGGGTTGGCCAGCTGCTTGGTTGGCGTTGTTTTGTTTGGTTGGTGGATGGGTGGATGGATGGATGGATGGCTAGCTGGTTGGTGGGGGGGTTGCTGGGTGGCTTGGCGGGTGGCTGGCTGGCTAGCTGGCTGGCTGGTTTTTCTGATTGGTTGGTTGGTTTTTCTGGTTGGTTGTACTGGCTGGCTGGCTGGCTGGCTGGCTGGCTGGCTGGCTGGCTGGCTGGCTGGCTGGCTGGCTGGCTGGCTGGCTGGCTGGCTGGCTGGCTGGCTGGCTGGTTGGTTGGTTGGTTGGTTGGTTGGTTGGTTGGTTGGTTGGTTGGTTGGTTGGTTGGTTGGTTGGTTGGTTGGTTGGTTGGTTGGTTGGTTGGTTGGTTGGTTGGTTGGTTGGTTGGTTGGTTGGTTGGTTGGTTGGTTGGTTGGTTGGTTGGTTGGTTGGTTGGTTGGTTGGTTGGTTGGTTGGTTGGTTGGTTGGCTCGTTGGTCAACAAAGGATAAGATATTCGATCCAGTTTGCTTTGGGCAAGGAATTCTTTGTTGGCCGGTACCGCCAATATACAGCAAGTGAACCAACCACATCCAGCCGCAAACCGACGGTCAACGAAGGGCAATTGCAAAGGCTTCCCTGGTCGCCTCACTTGCAATATGTCATATGTCCATTTTTTGTGTGGCTGCTGGTTTTTACTTTGCTTCAAGCCACCCTTCGCAGGAACCTGTGCCCTGACCTCCCAACTCTGGGGATCCTTCTCAGGTAGTCGACTTGAAGCCCAACGGCCGGAACTTGCCGGTGACCAACGACAACAAACACGAGTGACCAGAGGGGATGCGTGACCAGAGGGGAACCGCCCCATTTTTGGGCAGTGTGCAACAAGAATCACAATAAGGAACCCCGAAAGATGTCAGAAAAAAAGGAAAGAAACACCCACTCCAGAACAGGGCTCCTTGAAAGATACATGTTGCCCATTTGAAACATGGCTTTTTCCACCAACATAAAGGGAAACCACCATTTACGAGGCAATGTTCAGGTGTATAATGCAAGGATCCCTGCGGAATGTCCAATTTGGGACCACACAAATGAAGGGCTCGTCTTTGTGTAGAAGAAAAGTCAACAACCCCAGATGGGTGTCTTCTCTTCTACCTTGTTTGGCTGTTTCAAGGAAAACCATGCGTTTTGGGGTTTCCATACTGGCAGACCATACATACATGTGCCTTTACACAAAGAGGTTTCAGTAACTTCTAAGCAAACAAGTAGCAAACATCCTGTGAGATATGCTTTCGAAGCCGGTTCGGCGCCTCATTTGCGATCGATCTGTACAGTTTGCCATGCAGCCATACGAGTTTTTCGCTTTTGTTTTGCCTTTTCCGACGGTACCCTTTTTCTACCTTGGTTTTCCCTTGCAAGGAAACCTTGGTTTAGAGGGAACCAACAGGAAACCACCCTTTGTGGCGTCCGAATCCCAAGTTTGACAAATACCCAAGCGCTTGGGGTAAGCTCGCGACTCGGTGGGGCGCGATGTGCTAGGTACATCCAACTTATGTCAGAGCACAAGATGCTGCAATCTCAGCCTTGCAGATGTGAAGGGGTTGCGCAGGGCAGAAATTGGGGTTCCTCAAAATGGAGCTCCCAGCTCCCTTTTGGGTGGTTTTAAAGGGAAGCTAAAAGGAAGAACCACATGTTGGGGTTCCCAATTTTTGAGAAGCTGATATGCATTGATAGGCTGGCACACACACACACACTTCCTAACATCGTGCTTTCGGCTGACGGCTGAGGACGAACTCCGTCAAGCAGCAAATTGAGCACTTCCTGAGAGGCCACGCTTGCAAGTCGCGTTCGATGCGAGCACTATCAGATCAGAAAATTTCGTCAGAGGTCTGCCGTTCCCCCAGAACTCGAAGGTGCACATCCCTTGCCAGGCCTGCATGAGATCGTGCCTCCGCAATTGCAGGGGGCCCCTGCCGGCGAGTCACTCCGGGTAAGGTGAAGCAAATCCAACAGGTGTGGTTGTCTTTACTTGGTGTTGGGCCCGGTTCAATGCCCGGGCTTGATGGTTTATCGTGCAAGGTCAAAGCGCAGTCAAAACTTCACGCAGCTCACTTGGGCAAACCATTTGCTCAGTTACTTGCTGGGCATTCCTTGTTCCAGCCTTTTCGGCTGTAGATGAAGGTCAGGGGGAAGCCCCCTTGCCAGAAGATGCGAGAAGCCGAGCCCTGTTGATTAATTCCTTGGGCTGGTTGGGTAATTATACCATGAAAGTATTGAGAAGACTCCTAAAGGCACCACATATGTGGAACCGAAAGCCGCACGCTTCACACTTCTTGCGCGAGGCTCTCCTTGTTTGACGACAAAGAGCTGGAGTTGCTCATCTCGGGCTTGCCGGACATCGACATTGAGGAGTCAAAATCTTTGTGGACCAATGTGAGCTTTTCTTTAATTCAGAGGACCATGCCAGTCGGGGGAATCCCTTGTGGTGGATCAACTCCCCACTCAAAGGGGAACCACGCTTTACATGTACGATCCTCTGGATGAATCCGAAGTTGACACTATGCAAACAGGCTTCCTGCAGAGTGCAGCAATTTTCCAGATTCAGCGTCAGACAGTCTGTGGCTGTGTGTGTGACACATGTATTTTGCAGGACCTCAAGCAAAATACCGAGTACCACAATTACACTCCGCAGTCAGATCAAGTCCAGTGGCAGCGCCCTCAATGGTTTTGAGAAGATGGTAAAAGGCCTTTTTCTGGGCGTGTCCTTTTAGGGGACCCCCAAGATGGCGGTTTTCCTTTGGTTCCCATAGAAAAAATAATGCAGCAACAACAGCACACACATATTTCCTCAAAGAAGACGCTTGGAACCGGGGCACGTCTCGCCCAGCACCAAACTGCTTTGCTGCATCCACTTCATGGAGACTTTGCTGCGCGCATTCTCCTGAGGTTCTGGAAAGTGCTGAGCGAGTTCACGCAGGATGCGGGTGATGAATCGGTCTGTCTCAAAGGCAAAAGGGAGAAATGTTGGATGCTTATTTTTGACACCGAAAGGAAATGGTCCCTGAGTTTAAGAAACACCCTCGTTCATTTTGTTCGATCACGACAATTGTTGAAATGACGTGACCGGAGCCATGTGGCGAGTGACGTTACCGTTACACACTGCCATTTGAAGTAGCTTGAGGTCTTTGATTCTCATATCCACATATCCACGCCAAGCCATGACGAATGTTCGATGTCTGAGTCATTTCTGATGGAACACCCAAGCCGAGCCCATCGACCAGTGTGAGGCTCGTGTCCAATTCAGGAGCAGCGAGCCTGGTTCCTGCAGTTTGCCACCGGCACGTCCAGAGTCCCGGTTGAAGGCTTCAAGGCGCTTCCAGCTTGCAGCCGCGCAGCCAACCCAGTCACCTTTTGTCTTTTTCTGTAGGCCGCGTGTTCACCGATCCTCCAAACCTGCCAGCTTAGAAGACGCATTTCTTGTTATCATTTGCTTCCGCCTCGTTTTTTTTTTAAGGGTGAAGCGGCGCCAGGGCCTGGTGGGCATGAGGGGCCCGCAGAAATTCTCGCTGCACCGTGCCTACGGCCTGGGCCTCAGCTCTCCGGCGCGGGATTCGGCGATTCGGTTTCGGATTCCACCGCAGCTCGCTCCGAGAAGAAAAAACAAAACGCCGCCCGAAAAGGAAAAGCATGAGCCACGTGCTCAAAACCCTTTGGTAGATGAAGGTTAGGGGCAGTCCCAGCCAGAAATAGGTGCGGAGATCCGCCTTCTTAATTCTTGAAGCATGGTTCTGGGTAGACCATTTTAATACCAGGTTTTGATTGTGACTCACATGGGTGTGTGTTTTTGTGACGGCATCCTTGTGTTGGTTTCAAGGGACATACACACCCACATGGAACCCCCCGCAAAGGCGTGCCCTGAAAACGGAACATGTATCTTCCTTCGACTCCTGGTTCTAGGCCTGTTGTTTGGCGGAGCACTGATTTAGAGCCATAGCATGGAGGAGCCATAGTGATTCTGGCCCTCAATGGTCCTTGATTCACGGTCCAAACAAATGGCCCGTACATTGCTCGGCCAACTTAGTAAGTCAGGGTTCTACTTGTTGACTAGCCCTGGGTAGGCTTAAACCCAGGGTGGTCCATTCCCCCAAGAGGAGAACTCCTGGGTTTAAGTCTATCTTGGGGTAGAAAAAAGTCGAACGCTGTAGTAAGTTGTTTGTAGCTAAGGAGTTATGCCTGTCATACGTGGGTTATAGCCCAGGTGGCTAACCACTTACTTACTTGGCCGAACACCCAAGTAATCACTAGTCACAAACAGTCACTAAAACATATACTCGGCAACGGGAACCTCCCTGGCTTTGAATAAAAAATGGGGGGTTCCACCCAAAGGGACGGTTTTCAAAAGGAATCCAAGAGGCAACATGCCACACAAAAAGGGTTCCGAATCTTGTGTGTTTTGCGCGGAACCCTCCTTTTGTTTTGTTTTTGTTTTGGGGGGGGAAACCAAAAAGAACAAAAACCCTCAATCCATGTGGCGATGGGGATCTGAGGCGCAGATAGGCTGCCCTCAGCCCACACTTGCTTCAATCAGCCGGCTGCCCAGCGGGCGACCAGAGCTGGGGTTGGTCAAAACTTGCTGGTGCTCAGTAACCTTGCAAACCATCCCTTGTGGTTTTCGTTAAGGGAATCTTCAGGTTCATTCCCACATTCCCTACGGAGCACCAGCCAGAAAATTGGGCCCCCGCGCTTTTTTTGTTTTTTTCTGCTCGTGCGAGAGATGCAGGGAATGAGACGTGAATGACCGAAACAACATTTTTGTTGGATTCTTTGCTCTGAACATCCCCTTCTGGTTCATTCCCAACACATGGAACCGTCATTTTCCGGGATCCAGCATGGACGCTCGGGCACCAAACATGCCTGCGCGAAGGGTCGTGTGGAGGTTGACCATGATAGGTTGTGATTCCCCATTCCTTCAAGCATCCTTTGTTCCTCAAGCACCAGCAAATTGTTTTCGTTTTGCCTTGCCGGACAGTTTGAAAAAAGGATCCCTGGAAAGAATGTGGAAGGCACTTGGGAGAACCAGCGGTGCCCTGGTCATTTCACCACCCCTTCCGCGCACCTGTCAAAAACAATAATGCACTCGGAAAGTTCAATCGAGCTTCCGGCGTGTTAGAAACAAGGACATCACTTAAAGTGGCCTGTTCTCGTTGGGGTGTGTGTTTTTGAGGGTACTGCTTTTTTGGTGGTTTGAGAGGAAAGCAACATAATATCACAATTTTGTGAGTACCTTAAAAAAGGACGTCCATTTGGGGTTCCGTCTACTATTGAAAAGTAGGGCGCAGACTTGCGGCATTGAGCGCCTCTCGTGCCTCAACATCAAAAGGCAGAACCAACGGTCAAAAGGAGGCCTCTGGAATCGGAAAGATACCAAGGGTGCGAAAGAGGGTTAACCCCATTTTAGATGGACCACTTCCTGCCTAGCTTGTGGTTTAAGGATTTCATCCATACTGCTAAAAGCATCTTGTCCATAAGAGCTTTGTTTTTCAGGGTTCCCTTTTCGGCTTCATGTACAGCAAAAAAGGGACCCATTTCTTTGGGTCCCCAAATGAAAAAAAGAAAAGCCACGCCCAGATGCTCAACTCTTTGCTTAGGGTGGACTTGCCGGAGTACCCCTCGGAGGAGGTGCTGCGTGAGAAGTTGTTGCAGGCGGATTCGGAACACTTTGGGCGGAGTCGGAGGCCTCTCGCCCGAAGCCGAGGGGCTTCAACATAACAGGAGGGTGTCCGATTCTGGGTGAAATGTGGGGAAGACCACTTTTGGAGGGGCCCTTACCCTGGTGCTAGTAAACTGGGGTTGATTATGGGGCCAACATGAGGAGCTTGAATTTGGAAAGCTGCAGTCCAAAATCCAGGTCTCCGAAGCCACCTGAGCGCCCGAATGCTTGAGCCATGACAAGTCCTGGCTCGCCTCTGTGACGTTTTCTTTGTTCTCCGAACAGAAACTCAGCATGTCCTTCGAGCTCCTAGAATTCACCAACCAACCAGAAGAAGACATTGAAACCTGGGACTCTGTGCCTGTTTCGAACACCGAGGGTTGTTTTGGGGACTGGAGATGAGTCACATTTCAACCGAATTTCAACTTTATCGGTCACGGCTCCCAGGTGTTTGTTGGTGAAGGAGCATTGGATTTCACATTTGCGGAGCAATTCTCTTTCGCTGACCCTCACGACATTTCAGCTATGAGCTATGCAAGCAACCGTCAATACCTCTAGCCCTTCACACGGGGCCTCAGAACCGTCTCAAGTGCTCAAATGCGTCTTACATAAATGAATATCATCCTATTGTCTTGTTGGCAGATGTTTGGACAGATCAGTTCTGGAATGCTCTTTGTTGCTGTGTTTAGACGGAGCAGTTGCAAGGCCTTTCAGTCAAGGGCTAGAACCTGCAAAACTTTGGGCCTGCCGGGGAAGGCCACACTCGCAACGCAGGCTGTCAGTGAAGGCCACGAAGGCTTCGGCTTTGCATAGCGAGGCTTTGCAAGGCGCGGCGCCGGCCGTGCACTCAACGAAGCTGCATTTAGCGAAAAACGCGTAGCGTGCACTGGAGAGCTCTTCAACTTCGAACTGGACCACTGTTGGTTTCACCTGGCTTCGGAAGCCTAAAGCTGTTGCCTTTTCTTAGAAGACTCTGAGACTGTGCCAGGTGAATCTTAGCCTGAGCGCTGCCGAGTTAATGCTTGTGGGTGCTGGCATTCAATTCGGCTGTGCCTTGAAGTCTCACTGCCCTGCGCGCGATGCCAGGAATTCACAGCGTTGCTTGAGAGCACGCATAGCAGTCAGCTTCGGAGTGAAAACTCCCCATTAATAGCTGTCAGCAAACGCTCGAGCGATGCGTTCTGGACAGGTGAACGTACAGTAGAGCCATGTGAGAGCTTCCGAGCGCGATCAAAAAGACAAGTAATCTCCAATGCCAGAGAAGCAGAGCGTTGGCAGCAACTCGTAGCACGAGAAGACTGCCTGAGTCATGTCCCTCGTGTTCGCTGAGCCGCTACCCTTTTTCCCCGACGCCAAATTTCAGACAGACTCAGAGAGAGAGAGAGAGTTATGAGTGAGCTCAATGACAGACTCCTGCCACGGGCCGCACTTCCAGCCAGCAACACGAGTCAACTGACTGTTGTCAGCTAAATGTATCGTCTCCCATCTTTACCAGGCCTTGGCAAAGCAACAGCAATTGCAACACCTGACCCCTCAGATTGTGACAGCACACGTGAACGAAAGCAGCCTTGCGCAGTGTCCGTGTGCCCGCAAGCTTGACTGCGCTGCGTGCTTAGGTGCGCATTTGACAAATGGCTGTGGCTCAAAAAACCGGTACCCAAATGGAACCCTGGCAAGTGGAAGCATGGACCAAAACCCGTGCAACCCCAGCTGTTTAATTTTGAGCCACATCCAAATCTGAATATGTGTTGAAATAGAGGGAGCCATCGAAAATGATGGCTTGTTTCCTTTTGCATTCCTTTTAGTCCAAGGTGAAAAGCTGCACGTAGCATGAGGCCTTGACTGAGGCAACAGGTTTTGGATTGGTGGTTGTGGAAGCGACTGGGCTGACGTATCCCCGAGCCTAGGCCATGCAGCGCGAAGTGCCGCCCACGTCGCCCCTGGCCCTGAAGCCGTGCCGGGCTTGGGTAAAGCAGCCAACCAGACCGGACTCACAGGTATACAATACAATAGATATCTCTATATTTATATATATCTCTAATATATGCATATTACACATTTGCATATATATATACACATATATATATATATATACATATTATAAAGCACACACGCAACAGACGTTCCTGCAGGCAAAGCGCTGGAAGCTTTCAGAATTTCTTTGGGCTTGGTCAATGTTCCGAGCTTACACCAAATGATTAACATCCAACATTCATGGGGTTCGGAGGGACTCCAAATTACACATGTCCATAGGGTAGTGAAGCTTCTTGTGGCTTGCCCCTTTCGAGGGAACCCATTTTTGGATTTGCTTTAAACGGGAAAGCCAATAAAACACTGCCAACACGTGTGCGGGGCCTGACTAATTATATTTGTTTTCTTTGAAGAGTTCCGTCTGTATAGGTCTGCTTTAGATGACCGCTTTATAGGCATCTATTATTAGTACGCGCACAAAGTGTGTTCTTTTTAGCCAAGCACTGGTGTTGCTAGAGCGTCGACTTTAGTCAACAAAGACGGTCAACAAGTTGACCGAGTCCTGTCGGCAACTGGTTTTGAAAAACCACTCTGCCGTCGAAGGAAAACATCGCTTTTGGAACCCACCACATCTACATGTGTGACGGAAACAAGGAAGCTGCAGGCGATTCTGCCTCCCGCACCTTGCCGCACGTTTGCATGCCTTGAATTGTCTCAAGTTTCGAGCAATTTTCAGGATACAAGACTTAGCAAGCTCTGTTCCGCCCTGGAGTTGGAGTTGCTTGACTCTGACGTCATTAGAGCGAATAGACAAGTTCAACAACACTCGGCAGACTTGAAACATATCTTTGCACTTTAATTATTCTGATGGACATAAACATATGTATGTATGTACATAGCAATATAGATACATGAATGCAACTTTGCAACATATATATATATAGATATGTCCACATATACATGCATACATGTATGCAGTCTTCCAGTGCATGCTGGCCAGGGCCGTTTCCCAGTGCCGGGCCTTGGAGTGGCTGGCGGAATGCTCCCAGGCGGGCGAACTGCCGTCGAGGGGGGTGGATGGCGTGTCCCGCGAAAGAGGATTTTTTCGAAAAAGTTGGAGCCACAGTTGGCGAAAGTCGTCCCACGGTCCCAATATGTTTGGGTCGGTTTGCAGGGAAAAAGGACACCAACCAGCTTGGGATCGCGATCTCCAAGTCCACTGAAGGGTTTGGTGAGAATCGTTCTCATGTTGCTCCGATTTGAACACCCCAGAGTCACGATACGGTTCTGAATTAGATACCCTCCCTGCCACGAAAACAGATTATGACAGGAGACCCCTACAAGAGGACATTTATTTTCCAGGTACTCTCCCACAGGTGCTATGTTCGTGGGAGGGAGGGTAAGGAGTTTGGCAGGGCTGGCCAGAAGGAAGCGCTTCAGAAGCTTTGAGACCAAATTGGACGTGCGTTTTGTGGCCGAAAGAGAGATCCAGTTGCTCCATGGGATAAGAAGTACACATTTCGCGGCGTCTTGCTTTTCGCGGGTACCACACTAAAGGAAAACCAACAGGAACATCATCATTTTGATGGGTTCCTTAAAGACGACACACCCACAGGCTGAACATACTTCGAGCAATATGGATCCCTCGAGAAAGCCCAATCCCGTTATCAGTCCTCCCGTTTCGGACGGCTTGACGTGTCTTGGAGCTTTCTTTTCGGATAGCACCGAAACTGTCCCTTCTCTTGAAACCAAGTCCCGCGGAGGGGCTTCAGGCCTTTGTTCAGCAACCGCGAAAGTCGAATTGCACTGCAATGTTTGACTCCCCCCCTTTCTCGGCTTAGGGGATGCCTTTTGGAGGGCCGTTTTTTTAGTTTTATCCCCCCCCTTTTTAAAGGATTTTTTGTTTTTCAGGGTGGGTGGCCCATGCGCTTTTTAGATCGCCCTTTGGTTTTTTGGTCAACCCGACTGCCGAGCCGCGTTTCGGGGGACGCGTCGCAGGCTGAGCTCCTGCAACAGCTGCGTGAGCTGAAAGTGCAGCGGTGGGAACGATGCGCTCGGCGCCCCAAGTCTGGTCAGGAGCTTTGTGTGGCCATGGGTCGTAAGCTATGCCGATCCCATTTTGGGGCGGAACACCTATGTACCACCTGTTTTGATGTTCACCAGGGGTACAAGGTTTTGACCCACTGTATGGGTCTTCAGCGATCCCAAACTGGATTTTGGTTTTCCATTTTGGTTTCCCCTTTGAAACCACACCAACAAATATCCTCAAAAGCTGACAAACCCGTACGTTGACCCTGGACTACTGGAACTGGGTATGAATTTTGAGAGTTGGAACCACCTCGAAAGTGGGTTGTTCTTCCAGCCTAAATGATGTCCACCGAAGGGTCATGAGCCCATTCAAATCCACACCTTCTTCTCTCGCACGCCGAGAGAGAATCAGTGAGGTGGCCTCTTCATGGCACCCGGTTCTGAACCGCTTCGACAGCATTTTGGCCGCTGCTTGGCGGAAAGCAACACCTGACCTGTGACGCCCGTGGCCGGCGGGAAGTTTTGAAAGGATCTAGATTCCCAGAGCCCACATGAACAGCGCACAAAACCCAGCTAACCATTTTAGTAGGTGGTTCTACTGCCTTTTTCATGAGGTTTATGATAAGGCCCACATAAACAATAATTATGTCGGTAGAACCAAAAGGAAATGGGTTTTGGGCGCCCACATCGAGCCTCTGCGAAAGGACACCTTTATGGAAGGGCCCGAATTCTATTTGGAGCTTCGCAGAGCTTCCCCGGAAAGTCGGTGTGTGGTGCGTTGTTTCAATGACCAGTCGGACACCGGGGAGGGGAGGGGAGGGTGGTGGTTGCAGAGTGCTTTGAAATTGCCCTGTGTTTGGATGCCGTTCGCAGAGAGTTGTGCCAGAGTTTGCGCCCAATCATCTCAACGGCTCAAAGTCGTTCTACACAGGGATCTACGGTGAGTCTATGCTTTCCGTGAGTTTCCGTGTCTGTGACTAGCACCTGCTCAAGCGACGGGTTTATAGCTTCAAGAAAATATGCGAAAGTGCGTAAGGTTGGTCGAGCGCGTTGAAAACGATGTTTTTTTGAAGGTCAGAAGCAGCAAGTGTGCAGAGGATTCACGGTTGGGGTGCCAGATATTGTACACACACACACATTTATACACATATGCTTGGTATGTATACGTGTATTTATATAGCCAGAAAACACCCAGACCGTCCCGAGGCCTTTGCAGACCCCGCACGCGGCGAGGGAGGGCCCACGGAAGAGCTGGTCTGCGAGGCGCCTTGTTTTGGCGCCCACGTCCCTTGGGTATGTCTCAAAAGTGTCTCTTCCAAAATTATGACCTTCCCCATTCTTTCCAGGGATCCTTCTTTCTAGAAACCCTCCGGAAACCCAGCAGATCCCAGCAGAAATGGATCCGGTTTTTGAAAAGAACGATGGTTGGAAAGAATGGGGAATCAACCCTTCGAAAAATGGCTCATGTGGTGACAGTGGATTTGAGCGACTTCGCGGAATCCAGTCCAGTTTGGGTCCCCTTTCAAAAAAAATGGGTTTGGACCATCGATATTTTGCAGTCGATATTCAAATACCCCCACTGGTTGCAACTTGAGTTTCTCTCTCGCCCACAGTGAACTGGGAGCCCTCTTTGCAAAAATGTTCAAAGCTGGTGTCCCTATTTGACGTGCCCAGAAAGATGCCTGGGCAAATGCTGGCCGCGTTTGCTGGTGTGTGGCGTAAGGTTAAAATAAGGGGCCTGCAAGCCTCAGTTCCGGGAAGGCTCCCAGCTGGTTTCCTTTTAAAGCTTCCCTTGACACCGCTTCAAATGGGGTAGCGAGCCACCAAAGACACCAGCCCAGGTCCCCGAATTGTGTTTGTCTCAAGTCCAAGGTGTGAAAGGCGATGTCAAACGTGCGACCTGGTGTCGCATCCGCGGATTCAAGCGGGATTCTGGGTAATCAGTGTTGCAACCGGATTTTACGGGGTTTGAGGATTGAACCCTTGGTTCTTGCGAAGGGCCAAGGGAAAGCCACCTCCGAGAAGCGGAGAGAGCGGCAGGTGCTGAGGGTCCTGCACGATATCGTCTTCCTCCATCAGGAGCTGAAGGGTCGAGCCCTCGATCCGAGCCGTTCGCCGGGACGCACCGATCATAGGAACTCTATGGATCAATCACCTGAATGAGCGCTTCAGAAACCAGTAAAACCCAGGAGCTGCCAAATGTCCCTGATGTTTGTCTTGTGTGGCAACCAAAGGGAAACCAAGGCCGATTTCGGGGGGGTTCATGGGCCATGCAACTCTTTAGGTCTCAACCAAGAAGCCAAGCAACCTCACGCATCAACCACCAAAAGGGAAGTTCAATCACAAAAAGAGACACCACCTGTAGTTTCCCTTGGAGATGCCATGTTACAAAACTATGGGATAGACATGGGGGGACTCACCAAATTTCCCCACCAGAGACAAGCGCTAAATTTCCCAAATCCTCTTGGGAAACCCTCGTAGTTTTGACCGTGGCGCATGTCGCTACCAAAAAAGGTCTAAAAAATAGGCTACCCACAGAACCACACACACAAACAGAGAGAGAGAGAGAGAGAGAGAGCGAGAGGTAAAGACCCACACAGAGAGACAGAGAGAGACACACACACACAGAGTCACACGCACACACACACACACACACACACACACACACACACACACACACACACACACACACACACACACACACACACACACACACACACACACACACACACACACACACACACACACACACACACACACACACACACACACACACACACACACACACACACACACACACACACACACACACACACACACACACACACACACACACACAAGCGCACACACACAAACACACAAATACGCATACGCAACCACACAAACACAAACACACACACACACAACCGCACACACACACACAACCACACACACACAAACACAAGCGACAAACAATCACATAGACACAGACGGACAGACAGACAGACGGACAGACAGGCAGGCAGGCAGGCAGGCAGACAGACAGACAGAGAGACAGACAGGCAGACACGCAAACACACAAACACACGACCGCGCAAACGCACACACACAGACGCACACACACACACACAATGAAGCAACCATGCAAACACACAAAAACACAAACATTTAAACAAACAAGAAAGCAACAAGAAAAAACACAAAACAAAAAGAATGTGATGAAACAAACAAAAAAAGAAGCAAAGAAAGAACGAAAGACACAACACAAAGAAAAAAAGACAGAACATCAATCACGCACACAAAAACAAACAAAACAAATACAACAACAAGCGAGCGAGCGAGCGAGCCAGCGAGCCAGCACGCAAGCAAGCACGCAAGCACCCAAGCACGCAAGCACGCACGCACGCAAGCAAGCAAGCAAGCAAGCAAGCCAGCAAGCAAGCAAGCAAGCAAGCAAGCAAGCAAGCATACAAGCACACAAGCACACAAGCACACAAGCACAAGCACACAAGCGCAAACAAACAAACAAACAAGCAAACAAACAAACAAACAAACAAACAAGCAAGCAAACAAGCAAACAAACAAACAAGCAAGCAAACAAGCAAGCAAACAAACAAGCCAGCACACACAAGCCATCAAAGAAGCATATTGACAGACAACCGAACCAACAAATAAGCAAGCAAGCAAGCAAGCAAACAAACAAGCAAACCAACAAACCAACAAACCAATTACCTACACACCAACACACAATCACGCAACCACACACACACAGACACACTCTGGACATGCACCCCATATCTTTTTGACAAGGTCCACGGCACAGCCATGCTGAGGCGCGGTTGACCGCCTGCGGGACCTGCTGCAATGCCGGGAGACCTGCAGGGTTTCGACGTTCTTGCTGGTCATTGTCATTTTGACCATTTCTGATGGTGAGTTTCAGACTGGTTTGCCGTCACTTAGTTTCAGCTTGGTTCAGTTGTGTCGTTTTCATGTTGACCAGTTTGCTTAGTTTCACTTTGGTTCTCCCTCCCCACTTGCCGGTTTTCAACGGTCAATGTTTTGGACGTGGCCCCGATGATTCCCAGCGTTGCTTCACCTGAAGGGGATCGTCGCAAAATGTTGAATCCCAAAATGGGTGGGTGTGGGTGGGTGGGTGGGTGTGGGTGGGTGGGGTTGGGGTGGGCTGGGTGGGTGGGCTGGGCTGGGTGGGTGGGTGGGTGGGTGGGTGGGTGGGTGGTGTGGGTTGGGTTGGGTTGGGTGCGTGCGTGCGTGGTGGGTGGGTGGGTGGGTGGGTGGGTGGGTGGGTGGGTGGGTGGGTGGGTGGGTGGGTGGGTGGGTGGGTGGGTGGGTGGGTGGGTGGGTGGGTGGGTGGGTGGCTGGCTGCGGTGTGGTGGTGGGTGGGTGGGTGGGTGGGTGGGTGGGTGGGTGGGTGGGTGGGGGTGTGAGGGGTGGGTGGGTGTGGGGGTGTGCGCCAAGAGAACTGATCGGAAAGGGTTTTTGAAGGGCGTGCACGGCTGCTGATCCAGGGTCAAAGCTGCTGATGCTGGGAAAGGCCAGAATGCCGAAGCTTGATGCTGGGCAACAGAGCTGCTGAGAAAGGCCAAGAAGCCGGAGCTACTGATCCTGGGAAGTAGACGCAAGGATTGTCCAGATGAGAGCTGTCTGCTTCCAATTGCAAGTTCCTTTGTTAAATCAAGGATCGATGCAGAATGCTTGAATTGAGGGGTGCCCATCAGTGGGTCGCTTTTTGCGGGCCATTTCGATAAGAGCAAGTGACAGTGAGTGCCAGATGCATCAGCGACAAAAAAGCGCGTGTGTGCTAAGTCTGACAAGAAGTGATTTGACCTGTTTGAGCTTTCTTTCACTTTGATTTAAAGGGGTGTCAGTGTGTCGGCCACGCTCTAAGAATGAATGCAAATTGCATGAGGGCGTAAGCATCAACACTGCACCTCTTGCGGTTGTGGGTGCGACCAGACATCTCGGATGTACTGCCGAAAGGCTGATGCGTCCTTGCCCGGGTTGGCCGCAAAGAACTCATTCCCCGCGCGGACGCTGATGTATGGCACCCCCGTCGCCCTTCTTCACCTCCACCGCCCTACCCCACCCCACCCCACCACCCCACCCGCCCAACCACACCCACCCCCACCCACCCACCCACCCACACCCACCCACCCACCCACACCCACCCCCCACCCACCCACCCACCCACCCACCCCACCCACCCACCCCACCCACCCCCACACCCACCCCACACCCACCCACCCCACCCACCCACCCCACCCACCCACCCACCCACCCACCACCCACCCCCACCCACCCACCCACCCACCACCCCACCCACCCACCCACACACCCACACCCACCCACCCACCCACCCCACCCACCCTCCCCCCCAACCCACACCCCACCCCACCCCACACCCACCCCACCCCACCCACCCCACCCCACCCCACCCACCCCAAACCCCACCCCCCACCCCACCCCACCCACCCCACCCCACCCACCCCACCCCACCCCAACCCCAACCCACCCCAACCCACCAACCACCACCACACCCACCCAACCACACCACCACCCACCCACCCACCCACCCACCCAACCCCACCCACCACCCACCACCCACCCACCCACCACCCACCCACCCACCCACCCACCCACCCACCACCCACCCCCCACCCACACCACCCACCCACCCACCCCCCCCCAAGCAACAGCCCCAGAGCTGCGCTTATTGTTGTTTGGTGTAGAAGGAAGATCAATGATGATGATGATGATGATGATGATGATGATGATAATGATGACGTTCCTTGGTTCACATTAAACAAACAAACAGGCAATCTTTGGTCAACAGTTTGCACATCAATCCAGTTGCCAGGAGCTCATGATGCCGCGTGCTGTCACCAACACTTCAAGCGTTCTGAAAGCGGATCTGGCCCGAGCTAGAGGTCGCACTGAGGAGCTTGAAAAGGAACTTGCAGATAAAAAGGAACTTGCAGATAAAAAGGCGAAGCACGACGAGGCGAGGGAAAGCCATCCATCAGGTTTGCTGCTGGCTTTAACGCGCTGGCGCGTCCTTGCTACTCGTGCAAGTTGTTGATCTGGCGCATGCTCTGCAGAAGATTTTGCTGCTCTTTGCAAAGGAAACAAAGTGGCCGCGGGAGGCTGACGATGCTTTGAAGAAGCTCGGCCTCAAGGGGTTGCCAGAGACTGCCAGGGCCCTGCGCTGGACATTCGCTTGGAGGCCTTTGTGACCAAGCATTACCAAACCCAACACAGGCCGCTGGCTCTGCAGTATATGGCGGGCTTGGCAGACTTGGCTGCAAACAGCGGGAGCAAGGTCATCAGGGCCGGCCGACTTGGCTGCGGGCAACAGGTTCCTGAGCCACGTGCCGGCTGGCGGTCATAGCTGGCAACCGACATTTCAGCACGATGAGCCCCGGCCCGGATGTGCATCGACGCTAACCTTGTCACGAAGATTTACTGGCCTCTTTGCAAGGCCAGACTGTCATCATGTCAATGACCCCTTTGCGGCATCTCGCCCGGAAGGGTTCTCAGCGTCTGTGCTTACACAATCAGCTCTCAACCTTGGAGGCTCGTTGGAGGCCGCTGCCGTGGATGCTGTGGAAAGCGACAGTGCCTCGGCCTTCGAGGCCATCGGACGGATCTGCTCTGGCACGCTCGGAGTTCTTGACACCGAATTGGTGTCGACCCAACCACTGGTGTCGCTGTGCGACATGATCAGGACAGAGCTCCGCAAGGCGTCACGCACGGACGGCAGTAAAATGCCGCTCCCGCCTGGATTCGACGGCATTGAGCCGCTCGTCTCCGAGAATGAGATCCCCTCCTCGGATCCCACTCAAAGTGTGCAGGTCCTCAACGGCATTCTCGATGAATTGCTGCCCAACGCGAGTCCTACGCTGCGTGACTTGTTGATGAAGACACGGCCGCTGAGCTTGCTGAGGTGTGAGGGCGGGGGTGGGGTGGGTGGGTTTGGGGTGGGTGGGAGTGGTGTTGGTGGGTGTTGGAGGTGTGTGGGTGGGTGGGTGGGGGTGTGGGTGTGGGTTTGGGGTGGGTGGGTGTGGGTGTGGGGGTGGGGGTGGGGGTGGGGGTGGGGGTGGGGGTGTGGAAACTGCAGTGGGATGTTTCTGATGCAGGATAGGGTGTGCAACTTTTCCCGCACGGAGTGGTTTTGGTCCCGAAAGAAATTGACGCGCACGTAGGAAGGCAGGAGGGTTCCAAGTTTGGAAGAGGCCCTTTTCCCGTTTCGGAAAAGACAGGTGATGGTTCCCTTCCCAAAAGAGGGTACCCGAAAATCTCGAAAACAAGTCATACTCAAATGGACCAAGTGCAATGGAGCCACAAAGGTGTGTGTCTGTGTGTGAGAAATTCTGCGTCTGCTTTTCCAGGCTCGGTAGCCTTTTCAGCTCGGCTTTCAACGGCAAACAAAAGTGGAACGCTGACTCCGTGCCTATTTGGCTGTGGGTCAAAACGGTACCAATTTGGGGTAGGTGCACCACCCATTTTAGTCTATAGTGGGGATTGGGATATTCACTGGGGGTGCGATTTGGCTTTTGAGAAAAGCCTATATAGTGGTGTCCACAGCCCTGTTTTGACCCACGCCATTCGGTGACGTGTGTGGCCGGCGCTGAGGTTCTGAGCTGAAGGTGCTCCTGGGAGTGCGTGACCGAGAGGTTGAGTCTGAGGGATGGTCGGGGTTTCCGCAATTTCCCTGCAGCCTCCCAAAAAAGAGTCTATGTCACCACCAAGAATTCTTTCTTTTTGTTTTTTTTTGGGGGGGAGGAGGTCTGCAAACAAAGACCCACATGTTTTTTTAGCCCGGAATACATCCCCCGAGCAAAGAACACCGCATATCAGTGGTACGGAGCTCCTACCGTTTAGAACACAATTCGAGTCCAATCATTTTGGCTGAGCGAACCGTTGAGTCGTCTCAACTGTGAAGTGCCTTGGGAGATTTCGTCCGTGGCGCGTGTTAACTTACTGACATCACTTCTTTAAGCAGGGAGCCGTTTTTTGGCTTGGGGAATGACGTATGGTCATTTCGAGGCACTCCAAATTGACCGACTTGTGATCAGGCCGATAAGTTTGCATAAGGAATAACCTCACAAGTGGCTGGTGGACATGAGTCCCCCTGATATCCACCAAAGGGTCCCCGATGAAAGCTCACGCCCATGTCTCATATGAGTATGTCATTTTTGTGGGTACCCTTTTTGGGGTGCTTTAAAAGAGTCAAGAGCCAGGGCAAACCGCGGATTTTTGCTTTTTCCACCTGCCACGGGGGGTCGTTTGGGTACCTGTTTTTGAGCCACCGCCCACCTTTCGCGGGGCTCCGCTAGTGGCGATCGACCCGAGGCCCTGAGGTGCCTTGCGGCCTGCCCACCTAGCCCTGGCCTCAGACCCCCAAGCCGCTGGTGCAAGGCGTGTCTTGTCTCTTTTTGAGGGTATTCCGCGTTTTTTTTTTGGGGGGAAGTGGGGGATTTAATGGGAAGTTCAGTTTTTCCATTCTTTTCTTTTTTTCTTGGGGGGGGTGGTTGAATGGGAAACCAAGTGGAAAAGCACCAGTTGGGGGGGACTCGATCCTCAAACACCCCTCCAAAAGAAAGACTAAACTACTTGGGAAAGAGCCTCAGAATCGACCATGTTTGGTGTGGGTGGTGTGTTTGGGTCGCGGACTTCGATGAAACCGCCGGTTGCGAGCCAGCCATGAAATGGGACATCGCAAACACAAAGCATGGCCTTCTAGGAGTACCTTCCCCGTTCTTTCCAGGAATCCTTCTTTTCAGGAAACCCTCAAAAACCCGGAAGAAACGGATCCGGTTTTTGAGAAGAACGATGGTTGAAGAGAATGGACCAGGAACCAACCCCTAGACTGGAATTGTTCTTGGCATTTGTCCGGGGCCTCCGAGGCCGGCACCTTCAAAGCGGCGCCGTTGCCATGGAACGGCGCTTGGAGGCGCGCGTGGCTCGCTCGCTCGCCCTTTCGCGGGAGTGCGAAAGGGCGAAAGGGCGTTTTTTGTTTGTTTTTTGTTCTCGGTGTCGCGTTGCTTGTTTTTTGAGGAAACACCAGCACGTGGATGTCCTTTGTTGGAGTTGCTACCCTAATGCTACCCTTTTGGCTTTTGGGTTGGTTTAAAGGGCCAGATTCCAGATCCCTATTTTGGAGTCGAGATCAAAAAGACAAGGCTTTTGGTCCAAACGAAAACCGACCTCAATTTGTTGGCGTCTAAATCCCTCTTCTGGAATGCTTTTGGCAAAGGCGGCTAACGCAGGACAATTTGGTAGGTTCTACTTCCTGGCCTCGTGGTCATAAGGCCTACAACAACCTTAGCCATCTTGGTACCAAATTTCAGCTCGGTTTTCTTGGTGCGAAACAAATGTGTCGCGAGACTCCGGGGATCGGTTCCAAAGATTTTGGGCCAACGGTTTTGGCGAGTTTCCGGGGTGTGTTTGTTTGGTCCTGATGGGGGGTTGCTTGCAGGGGACGTCAAAGGGAATGGATGTCAAAGGCAAACCCATGAAATCCCAAGCTGAGCCACAACCAAAACCCGGGTAGATAAAGGTTAGCAAGGGACGATCCCAACCATAAATAGCTGCGGCCGCCTTCTTAGTTCTTCACATGGTTGTGGGTGCACCATTCTTGCACCGGGTTTTGAGCAAGTGACTCAGCTGAACATACACCCAACGCCGTACCGAATCTTGATCCATTCAATTCGACTGAGCAGCAATCTGTGGTTCGCTCGGAGTTTTCAGGATTTCTCGTGGCTTGGGACGCCTCGGGTCCGGGAGCCTCCATTTTTTTTGGCTGTGGCTCAAAAAACCGGAATTCCAAAATGGGTTGCCCTGGAAAGTGGAAACATGGACCAACACCTGAATGTCAATAGGGAACCACCTCACAAATGAATGGTGGACATGAATCCCCAAAAACGATGAACACCGGACCATAGGGTCCCCTGCTAGAATTAGCACACTCATACATGGAAAGCGTATTTGTGTGTGTGTGTGTCTCTTTCACTTTATATATACATATGGAACGCATGTAAATGTAGATGCCATGTGGTGTGCAGAGCTTTCCAGGAGCACATCCGGCTTTCTCGTTTCGGCTATGGGTGAACCCTCTAGGTTGGTTACCTTTAGACAGAATTCACCGCTTGAACAATGATGGTTAGTAAAACTACCATAGAACCATTGGGTTTTGCCAGTCTTTTCCAGGCATCCTGTCCCATCCGGGCAAGCGAGACCCCATGGAAGCGCGTTGGAAGAGGTTTGCTCATCAAACTTTGATGAGTCAAGTGGCCAGGTTCTTGCCTGTGCTGGCGCACCCAGACGCGGCCTCAGCCGGATGTGCGAGTCAGCGAGCATATGTTCACCTGGACCCAGACAATTCCTCAAAAAAAAAGTATTTCCCCACGAATGCAGGGTGAGCTCCCTTTTTATGGGCAGTTTGAGGGCCCGAGTATATACTTCTATTTGTCCGCAAAGTGCATGCACTTGTTCCTTAAAAACAAGTGTATTGTATGGAAGTGTGAGTGAAACTTGAACGCCCGATCACCCACGTAAACCCCTGAACGCCGGAAGTCTCAGAATCCGGGGCAGGTACCTGTAAATATATGACGAAAGCATTGTTGGAGTTGTCCCAACAAAGCTATGCTTAGCAATCCTCGGACCAAAATTGCTTTGCGTTGTTTTGCAAACTAACTATGCTAAGAAGCGATTCAGGAGGTTCCTCCGCATGTCTTCTTTCAGGGAGGGAACCGTAAGGAAAACCCGCCCTGGGGCGAAGATCCCAACTGCCGGCTGTTTTTCGCAACATGTTTTAGGCGTCCTGGGCGGCATGGGCTTCCGGGATGCCTGCAGCGAAGGGGCCGGGTGTCGGGCCGGGTGTCGTAGGGGTGTCGTGTGTTTGTAAGGAGGGACCCGTTGGTGGACATTGACATCATGTGAGCCTCCATCAAAACCCGGGTAGATGAAGGTTAGTAAGAGACAATCCCAGCTATAAAATAGGTGCGGCCGCCTTTTCAATCCCTTACATGGTTCTGGGTTCACCATTTTTATACCAGGTTTTGATTGTGACATCATGTGGATTCATGTCCACCAACTTGAGCTCGGTGAAACCCAATTCTGAACATTCATGGCCAGATTGTTTCAGACTCCCAGAAATAGTGTGAGTGTCTTTTTGGCTTTCCTAGAAACACCTCCGAAAGAAGTGTACCCTCAAATGGGAGCTTCTTGAAGGATTCGCACCGCTGCCAGAGCCGCTTCCTCCTCCTTGCCAATTCGGTAGATGAAAGAAGCGACATGGTCAGCTTCGATTGGAAGGACAGTATTCCTTGGGCACCATCACATCAAATGTAACACTGCTTCGCCAGCAAGTCTGGGAATCACCGCTGGGGAATCCTGGTGCGTCGAGGAGACCAGTAGTGCCCTTTCTCCTTTTTTTTGGGGGAGGGTTCCCCTACTAAAATAGACTGCCACAAAAAGTCGGTACCCTTCTAAGTCCTCTCTAAGCCTTTCAATGAACGATCCGGGAATCCCGGTGCAAGGACTTCGGGGTTGGAGACTTCCAGTTTGAAGTGCCTGGATACGCTGCCGGCGGCCGAGCCAATTTCGGAATTTCAAGGGCGGACTATCCGGAGATTGGTTTGCAGAGTTTCGGAAGTTGTGGATTTTGAATCTTGCTTTGCCATGCAAAGAGAGCTTAGACTCAGCTGCCCGAGACGGGGCAAACTTGAAGTTTGCTTTGGACAGAGCTGATGCATTTGTTTGATGCTGAGTGTGATGCGCTACGTTTGGCCAAGTGGGCATGTGCTCAACTGAGGGGACAGATCCCTCAGAGCCCTCAATGCTGAAGGCGCAGAGTGCACTGCATGGGCCAAGCGTTTCTGTCATGTGAACTTCAGGATGCGACATCTCTCGACACGTGTCCGTCGTTCGCGTTGTTCGATACGATTAAAGGTTACGACCTTCTTATGACCACATTGACTTTGCTGGTGCCTGAAAGCTGCAGGGTACGTATTCCGCCATTGTTGCAGGGATTCTTGTAGCCTCCGCAATCCCCGAGTGTTGGAATGACCTGCGAATCACATGAAATCGCATGGTTGCTCTCGAATTTACAGGGTGATTCGCACTGACCAGCTGCTCTGTGTGTTTGTGTTTGCTTTTTTGCGGTTACATGGACATGAAGCGCAACAAGCCTTCAAACATGGACACTGACATGACATGGACACTGACATGACTTGACACAACGCATCTGGGAAGCACCCCAAACTTCTGTTCTATTGGCCGTTTTAGCAGGTAGTTCTACTTCCTGGTTGAATAAGGATTGATATTATAGTTTCTATACACATATGTCTACATATATATACACATGTATATATGTATATGTAGTAAGAACCCCCCACCCCCAAACCCTGGGAATTGCGCATGGCAAGGCGGGCGCCTGTTTGCCTGGGCAACAAGAAAGCCAACCCCCCCCCCCCCAAACCCTCAACACCCTGGAGTCGTGTTTGCCTTCCAGCCCCCAAAACTTCACCCCACCTCTCCTGACATCGCAACCTGCGAAATTTTGCAGGCTCAAGCAGATACGTTTGAGGCGCTCAACGCACAGTTCGAGGCCCGCCGCACAAGCAGTGTCGGTGAAACATCCCGTTGCCTCGAGGCCTGCCTCAGTGAACAAATCACAACAGCTGATTTGGAAACGGATCTTTTTGGTTTCCGCAGGCTTTTGGATTCATAGGAACTGTTGCTAAGTTGTACCAGTGCCATCGCGAAGCGTCCGCAATAGACGTAAGCCATGCGCTTGAAAGGGGGCCTCTTCTGTCGGGGACTTCTGTTGGAAAGGTGTACGGGGGTCTTAAGATTTGAGAGATGCATTTGCGACGAGTTCCAGGAGCACTCGAGGCACGGCCTAAACTTTCGATGGAAATCTGCTGCTTTCCTGTGGCTCATTTGGGAAATTCCCTCATCTCAGCCTCGCCCGCCATGTGAGCCACGATCAAAGCATGGATAATGAAGCATAGGAATTCAGTCCCTGTGCCGCAGAGCAGCGGAAAGCTGCTTTTGCATGGGTTTTGGGTAAACCCTCCAATACCAGGCGTTGATGATGTCTTATGTTGCTCTGAGTTTCTCCGTGCCTGGACGCAAATCCCAGTACATGAAGTCGTGAAGCCATGCCTTTTAATGAGGAGGACTCTTGCAGCTGATTGGTTGGCACACTCTGAACAAAAAAATGGTCTCCCTGAGCCTTTTGCGAGCCTTTTGTGGTTTCGCAACAGACGCGGTGCAAAGGTTCGGCTGGAGCTAGGGGATGGAATGTAGACCAGGATAGGTCGATGTGTGAAGAGCATGTTGCTCAGATCGATGTCTACGAACATATGGCTGTGGCTCAAAAAACCGGTACCAAAATGGATCCCTGGCAAGCGGAAACATGGACCAAAACCTGCGTAACCCCTCCTGGTTAATTTTGAGCCACACCCATATGCCTATTGGCCAATGCGAGGAGGCAAAACGAGCTGATGAAATTTACTGAATGGTTTGCCGGCAGAGAGGCTCAAACTTGGCTATGGGTGAAGTGGCTGCATGGATTGCTCGAGGCTTCTGCGGCATCCAAATCTGGAAACTGGACAGTTCCGAGCATGCTGTTCTGTCACTCTGATTCTGTACATGCCTTTGAGTAGACCTCTTGAATACCTCTATTCTTGGCAGCTGGGTTGGATTTTACACCTTTCACTTTTGGGGAACAAGTGGGTTTGTCATTTTTATTATATTTTTTGGGGGGACCCCATTGATGGTGGTTTTCCTTATGATGTGCTTTTAAAACCAGGCAACAAGGTACCCTCAAAGACAAAAACACCCACAGGTGTTTCTCCAACCAGCAAAAGCCACATGACCAATTTGCTGACTTGCTCCAAGACGCGCTTTTTGAGGCCTCAACGACCATTCCCGACACGGCTCGTCCCGCTTTGCACTCAATTTCGCGGCAAAGAGTCAGGTGGCATTGCCAGGCTTAGCTTGCCTTGACTCCTTGACCAGTTTGGCCCAGTGGTTACATTGATCTGTGTAGTAGGTAACCAAGGGAACCACCCTTCAAGGGAACCACCCTTCAAGGGAACCACCCTTCAAGGGAACCACCCTTTAAGGGAACCACCCTTCAAGGGAACCAC